AATAAATCAAAGATATATTTATAGTAATAATTGCAGGCAAATTTGCCTGCAATTGCTTACCATTTAAGGGATAATATATCAAATTTCCAAAAATTTTCGATGAAATTGTGCCAGGGCAAAGTAAGCAGAGATCTTTTTCGATTTTTAACTGCTGTCCTACATTGTTTGGTGCGTCGAAAGCACGTCGAGTGTAACCCAGGTTCGCATAAAGAGAGCTTTTTCCTGCGTTACGAATATAAAGTAAAATTGCCAATTATATAATATAATTGGAATTTTTACAATTCAAAATTGATTCAATCACATGATTCAAGTATTCTTCTGAACTTCGTGGAATCACGCGTTGATATGGGTCCAGTCTCTAATCAGCGAATAATTTTTTACCAATCTGGATTATGCTGATTCATATGGAAAAATATCTGCTGCATCAAATGCAGTGAATATTTCCGTAAAGATAAAAATGGAATAAAATAGAATAAAATAGAATTTTTGAGATAAAACATATAGGTGGAATGCAAGTTTTGATTGGCCTTTATAAATAGACAACCTTTTCATTTGAAGAATCTAGGAATAAAGAAAATTTATGTGATACTATATACTATTGTACCCTCTGCAATTTCAGTGATCGTCGTAGGAAATTAATTATTAACGTTAATTCCATATTTGTAGAATTGACGAAGTGATCTGAAACACGTAATGTGTTTTTGTTACAAACAAATTTATAATATGCAACAAAAAAGTAACAATGTTGAGTCAAAATGCAACAAAATTATGGTTTGTATCACTTTGGACATTAAGGTTCTCCGGACAATTATTAATAATTCTATAATTCCACACTTTTGCTGGACTTAATTCGCCTACGTGAATTAATGTCATTATCACGTGTTCCACATGAAGAAATTCCGTATGCCCAATATTGATACGTATTATCCGATAAATGATTCGTATAAAAAATATCAAGGCAAAAAAATCACACAATCATATAAAACGTCGAATAACTCCACTTAATGACACGACGAGATATAAAACCGATTACATGGGGAATGGACTAGGAAAACCACCGTCTGACACTTGTTTTCGTGGAGAGGTTTGTTTTTTATGACCTCATAACTGCAGCGTCATAGCTTTTACGGAGAATAATAACCGGTAGTGTAAATGTTTTTGCTATGCTACAATAATAACGCACTCGGACAATTTTGGTATACAATTAGACCTCACTATTAGATCTCACTAAATGCACACTCTATAAAAAGCCTCACTAATTATACGCCTCTATTTGTTTCCGACTAATCTAACACTTATAGATTTTAACCTTCCTAAATTCGTGTCCACTTTTTTTTTGTTTTATATGGTCACATATATCACATTTAAAGAGTTTAAATGTAAAAGAGTGTAATCATTAAATAATTTTATTAAATAAATTTTCACAACTAACAATTTTTTTTAATTAGTATTAAACACCAAACATTATGTTTAACATTTTTTCTCGTTTCATTTTTCAAAAAGATTCAAGTTCCATGCAACAAGATTGTAGACGTGATCTTATAAAGCATATATTGTTCGAAGCTCAATCTAGTGCAATAGGCAACAACCTAATCGAATCATATAAAGAAGAATTTCGTTATATTGATGAAAACCAAATTTTAACGGAGAAAGAAAAAGCACTTGCAAAGAAAATCATTAGCTTTAATAAAGATGTTGAAAATCTTCTCTTCGAAAAAGTACAGAAGTACAAACATGAAGGATGTGGTCGTTTCGGCTTTACTACTCTGTTTTGCGAACATTGTGCTCGCGATTGTCTTATTAATGATTTCAAAAATTGGACCTCAGGAAATTCAATTGTTGATCGAGCTATTCAAAACGCACAAATTAATTGCCCTATTCCACGTAGAGTCATAGAATGGGTCCCTTATAGTGACCTGTATGATATTAAATTTAAAACTCGTGGTGGTTTTGCATCGATTTACACTGCTACTTGGAAAAAAGGATATATTTTATCATTTGACAATGATCAACAATGCTTTAAAAGATATGGAGCCGAAAATGTAATTCTTAAAAGGTTAAAAAATCCTAATGCAGATGAAGAATTTTTAAACGAAGTAAGTCATTTGAATCATTAATATTATCATAAGAATTATTCTAAACTTATCATTTAGTTAGAAATGCATATCAAGTTATATTCGAGTGGATTTCGAGTAGTAGCTTTGGGTGGGATATCTAAAGACCCAAAAACAGGAGATTATTTTCTTGTACTTGACCAATACGAACGAGATTTAAGTCAATTTATACGAAATAAATATACTTCGCTAAAATGGATGAATGTCTATAATTTATTTTGGGATATTTCTACCGCTCTTTATCGGATTCATCTCTCAAATCTAGTTCACCGTGATCTCCACCCCGGAAACGTTTTACAAAAATTTGATGGCAGTTGGAGAATTTCCGACTTAGGTTTTTGCAACCTAGCTCGTAAAGAAGAAAACCATTTTTATGGAAATCTTCCATACTGTGCTCCTGAGGTCATTAATAATGGAAAATATACCATTAAATCAGATATTTATAGTATTGTAATGTTAATGTATGAGGTTGTTACTGGTATGCCACCATTTTATGATCAGAGAAGCGAGGATCTTGCAATTAATATATTATGTGGAATTCGACCGAATATTCCGAAGGGAGTTCCAGAATCATATCTACGATTAATGTGCAATTGTTGGAAATCAAATCCGGAGGATCGTCCTAATATCCTTCATATTGTAGAATATTTTTACGCAAAAATCAAAGAAACGATGAATAATTCCAACGATGTCTTAGTTGCGATTCAAAATCCTCCCTTTAATGATAGTATTGTCAAAAGTCAATTACATGAATTTAAGAAATTTATAATACCTGGAGATACAACACAGGGTAAAAATTAAATTTCTAATATTTATACAGTATTAAATACAATATTGTAAGCTTACCAATTTAAACCATTTTGCCTTTTTGACTTTCAAAATTCTGTATATACATTTTTTTAGCACATAGTACTGAGCAAGAAATCATTCGCTTAATAGAATTTGATAAACATTCAGAAGAATATGGTAGGTCATAGCATTATACTAATTATTTTGTATTTTATGAAAGATTCCTGAATAGATTTTAAAAGTTTTTATTTCATCTAAATTACATTATCCTAATAACGAAATAGCTGGACTGAGCTATAAAAGCTTACAAGATGATCTTAAGCTTGGTATATTTTAGGAGAAACTTATGTAATTTTTATGGGATGCCGGTAGACTTATGCGATTGACTTCAGTTTACTTGATAACTTCACATTATTATCTTTTTTGAACAAATGCCATCGACAATTCACTTATTCTTTCTTGTTTGCAACGGAATATAACCTGATTTGCACGGCTTATGATTCTTTTACTTTAGCAAGAATATAAATTTCGGTTTATCTTTTTTTCCTATCTCTTGATTATAGTAACAAAACCATAGTAACAATGCGTTATATTAAATAGACAGTACGTTAATCTCCAACATGATTGTTATCTAGTTATTTATCACTAGTAATATCAGTTGTTTCGAACATGCTCTCTGCACTAAAATATGTTCTTTAACATCTATATGAGGGTATTGATGCCAGATCTCTAATATTTGTAGTTTTTCGCAATCTCATTATTTCTAAATCGCTCTTAAATATTTTTAAGTCCTTTGATAACTGTATATATTCGATAAGGCTTAATTTTCGATTTTTTTTTTAATTTGATGCATGATCTCAAAATAACGCCCATGCGCGTCCCTAAATAACGCGCACCTCATATATGATCACCCGTATGGGTGTTATTTTTAAAAATAAAGTTATCAGTAAATCGGCCTTTTGTTACAAAATAACGCCTATCTGCGTATTATAAATAACGCGAAGGAGACGTTATTTCGCGACAATACAGTAATAATGATAATTTGAGTTTTAGTGTTTTTTTTTTCATTCCTTTTCATTAAATCAGTAACTCGGCTTTTATTAAGTATTCGAGCATTAAATATTAAATAATTAATAGCTTAACCGATTATCGTTTGCATGCTTATTATTAGATGATGAAACCACTTGTTTCTAAATGCCTATAAGAAATCGAAGCACACAGTATTACTATCGAATCATGATAACGATAATCAATGTTACAATTCCTATTACTCTTTATTAATATCTGAAACTGATCACAGTAAATTATTAAGTATAGTTACAGGTTATCACCCTGCAACACTCGTATATATCTTTCTGTGTTGAACTGCTCGGTTCTTTCCGCTATACTGTATTTGTCGTATTAATTATGCTTTGTTGTTTATAATTGACATTAAGACTCTTTGAATTAAGTCTTTTCATGTATTATGTAAAACTTGATTCTATCGATTGACTTTATCGTTTTTGCTAAATACAAGCTGAACTTTGATTTTAACGTTCTTATCAAAAACCTCTATCAGTTTTAGAGCACTACGTTTTTTTATTAGGTTATTCATACTTATTAGCGATGTAAATTTAATTAAATTTAAATACAACAATAATTTAATTTACAAAAATATTATAGTTTTATAATTTATTAATATCATTCAATTTAGAATTATAAAAGCAAAAATTAAGCTCAGAATTATTAAACCAGTAAAAATGTACGTACGTACGTACGTTGTGAATCGGATGCATATTACGTAGTGAATTTGGCGCATTTATTGTACATTGTACATAGATAAAATAGTTAATATATTAAATATGATAACCATGATCAACATAGCTAACATGTCAAATATGTCAAATATGTCAAATATGTAAGACATACGTAGCTCGCATAGTTAGCATGTCAAATATAGTAGATATGTTAAAACATAATGAATATGTTAGCTATAGTTCAAATGCACAAAAAGCACTCAATAAGCATGTAAAAGATATAAAAGACTCGCCATTCGCTCGAATAAAAGACTAACACAGATAGAGTTCACAACTCGGATTGAAATTCTTTTAGTAGAAGTGTTGGCTTTACTAATTCCCCCCGATAAGTAAAATCTGTAATAACGATAGGAATTAGTGACCAGATCCTCTGACTTCGTATTTAGACTCGTGACGTATCTAGAGCTCTAATTGGCCCTGGTTACTCGGACCAAATCTTTCCACTTTTCGATCATAGCCTTACCATTATTAGAGTTTAATTGGAGTAGTTTAGTTGATATTAGTCTAGTGTTGTAGTGTATTTTGCGGGATACAGAGATTATGTACGGTACAATTAATTTATTGGTACTGTACGGTATGGTACGGTACTATATTACTATGTA